GCCGCCGCCGCCGCCGCTGCCGCCACTCGGCATCCCTCCCGGGCCGGGCCGGGGGCTGCCCCGTGACGGACGCGCCCCCGCGCCTATCCCCTCGGCCCGGCACCTAGCAACACGCTGCGGGTTGGCCCGGCGCGGCCGCAGCCCATCCGCGCGGAGCCAATCAGCGGAGGACGGAACTCCGCCCCTGCTTCCTACCGCCCACCCCAGCCCCCACCCCTTGCCCCGGCCGGGTTCGGGTGCGCAGGGTGCTGCGGTGCGGGGTCCAGCGGGCAGGCGCCGAGAGGGCAGGGAGAAGGGGTTGCGAAGGTCTGTGGGCTCCTGAGCCTGGCGGGGGGTTAGTTGGTTTGGATTTGGGATTGGTCTCCAGATCCAGATTGGGGTTCCCAGGACCTGGCGCGGGGAAGGGGCTAGGGTGGGCAGCGGGAGGTTGTGGAGCCAGGATAGCAATGTCCCCGCCCTCTTCAAGCCAGTCCTTACCTGAACCTCGGTTAGCTGAAGTGGCCCTCAGATCCCGAGCTTTTGCATTTAATAAGATCGTACTAGTCCCAACAGACCGAGCCATCCAGTTCTATGAAGAAATGCTTTCCCCTCCACTCCTGCTAGGAGTCCTTTCTGAGAGTTACAAGTAGGAAATGGGCGTTGGAAGGCCCCGTGGCTGCTGACTTACCAGGGCTTTTAGAGGGAGAATGGGTAGCCCAGGCGAGAATGGTCAAGGTGGCCAGAGGGGAGGAGCCCACATTCTGGGTCAGTGGGGTGGTGCTTTTCAAGGAAGAGCAGGTTAAAAAATAAGCTCTGGGCAGTCGGGAAATCTAGGGAGGCACCAGGTGGGTGGAGTGGGACAGAGTCTGCCAGCAGGAAAACAGGTCAATTTGGTAAAGAATGCTGGCTAGGGCAAAGGAAGAGAGCAGGTCAGCCTTTTCACCCAGCCACTGACAGGTTCGACAGCTCCCCGAGGGGACCACGTGTTATTACTGACAATTTAGGAAAGGAGAAAATAATGACAAGAAAACACATGTTTTAAGGGCCAGGGAGATAGCTCAGTGACATAAACGCCTGCCTAGAAAACACATGTTTTATTGAGCAGCTATCAGGATGTGAAGTGCTGCAGGGGACCCCCGTGACAGCAGCCCCCTTCCCAAAACTGGTTTATAGGGCAACCCAGGGTGGTCGCTCAGCTCTTCACCCGGGACTTCAGCCAGCGAATTGTGTATTTATTTGGTCAACAGAATTGTTTCCAGTTGGTGTAGGGCACACCGCATGGCTGAATGTGAATTCAGTACCAATGTTAGTAAAAACACTACACTACACTCCTCCAGTCCATTAGTAGTTATGAGTCTTTCAGTTTCACTTTCAGGGTAAATAAGGGCATTGTCATTGTTTACAGTGGGTTACATTGGAAAGTAAATCACAAAAAAAAAAATTCTTTTATTTATTTAGTCTTTATTCTTTTGGTGGAACCAGGGATTGAACTCAGGGCCTTTGCACTTACCAGGCAAGCACTTATTTTACTGAGCTATCTTCCCGGGCCCCCCCAAAATGCTTTTAGACCAGAATCGCAAAGAAGAAAGGTATATCGTTTAATCCTTAATCTAACAAGCTGTAAAGCCAGAGTGATAGCACATAATGGAGAGGCTGAGGCAGGAAAATTGCCAAGAATTCGAGAGCAGCCTTGGCCACATAGTGAGTTCAAGGGCAGCCTGAATTGTACATCCAAACGGACTCTCTCAGAAACCAAAAAAAAAAAAAAAAAGGGGCAACATTTTTTGATGATCAAGAGATTGGTTTCTAGCCCTGACCTCTGTCTTGGGCAAGTTTCTTTGTCTCCTTAAGGCATTGATTTGCATCATTTAAAATGAAGAGCCAGCTGAGTTGGTGTACACCTATACCCCAGCACTGGGGAGGCTGAGACAGGAGGATCACTGTGAATTCAAGAGGTAGGTCACCAGGAGACTGCATGCCTAGCATGTACTGAGGTTCTGGGTTCAAGCCCAGGCTCTGCATAAATAAATAGATACAAAAATAAATGGATAAAGTTGAAGTAAAATGATTTCTTCTTTTTTCCAGCTCTGAAGTTCCATAAGGAGCCTGAAAGTTAAAACTTGTTATAATTCTGCAATATTGTGTCAGTGAATGTTTGTGTTGTTGGATCACCGCTCCCGCGGTGTAGATTCTTCGTTGGTTTAACACCCTAGGATACCGGGGATGTTATGTAACAAGATCGGTGGCTACTGTTTCTGTTTAAATAAATGATAATGTTAGCTGAAGAGGACCAGCCCGGTGCCTTGGCTGGCAGGGAGCTCTGAGGCCCCCTGCAGGCGGGCTGTGTGTTTGCAGGAGAAGGGAAGAGACCGGACCGCTGGGCCTCCAGCCGGAGGACAATAGAATCAGCCAGCCAGCAACAATAACACGTTCCGTAAGCCGGATCGGTCTCGTCCCACCCTGGCAGAGCCAAGCCCTGTGAGCTGAGGAGAAGCTAGAAGTGAAACAATGAAGTAGGTGAAACAAGAAACTAGAAGCTCCTTCCCTTCCTGTCTGAACTAAGCACCTTTAGCTGCCCTTAGTACACATTTACTCAGTGCCTGGGACGTGCAGAATTTCCTGCTTGACTTGAACAAATATTCTGAGCACTTTCTGAGAGGAGGGAAGCTGAGAATAGGCAGATATGAGATCGGCAGATGTTTATCCTGGAGGACAAAAAGACAAGAGGTGGAGGGGGAGAGAGGAGAGAGAGAGAGAGAGAGAGAGAGAGAGAGAGAGAGAGAGAGAGAGAATCAACAAATGCCCCACAGGGGGCCTTTAGGGATCGCGAGGACCCGCAGTGTGAGAGGCTCCTGGCCTCCCAGAGGGACGATCAGCCTGGCTTTGTCTGTGAACAGTACCGTCTCTTGTGCAGAGCCGATGGTTCATTCCCAACACTTTCACAGCTGTTCTAGTCCGGCAGCTTCTCTCTCAAATCCTACCCCTGTGAACGAGGTCACTTTTTGGTGGCCATCTCAAATCAGCTTTTCAGAGCGTTTGAGGTGATTGACAATGCCTTCACCCCCACGCCACCCCATCAGCAGGTCCTGTCAGCTCCACTGTAGACTCCACCCTAGCACCAAGCACGGTGGCACACACCTGTGATCCCAGCACTGTGGGAGGCTGAGGCAGGAACATCGAAAGTTCAGGTGTATTATACAATGAATAACCACTAAGACAACAATATGCAATGTATTAATTATTGAAACTGTCCTACTAATTGGTTTTGAAACTGTCTCATTGCTATTTGTTTCTCAATAAAATTATTAAAGAAAAAAAAAGTTCAGGCGTAGCCTGAGGAACTCCATGATTTAAAGAGATCTTGTCTCAAAATAAAAATCACAAAGTTCTGGGGGTTGTAGCTGAGTGCCACAGCTCTCGGTTTGATCCACAGTACCCGCCCCTCCTCCCATTTGGTCTGAATGTGTCTGGGTCCACTCCTGCCTGCCACCTGGCCTGAGCCACTGTGACCTCTCAGTTCTGTAAGCAGCAGCCTCTGCAAGACTCCCTGTCCCCCTCCATGCCCATCCACACCCTGTGCCGCAAGCACATGGTGCTGCTGCAAACCCAGGACCAGCCTACTGACCTCTCTAGTCCACCTCCACCTGTCCTTGCCTATTCCACTTCCATTAAACTGGCCTCCTTGCTGTCCCTCCAGGCAGGGGTGCATAGTCCTGTTGCATGTGTACAGTCACCATTGCTGGGGCTGGGGGGGGGGGTCAGCTTCAGAACTCCCCCAACCCCCATGGTGAACAAACATGCTCAAGTCCCTAGGCATGTCCTCCTGAGCATTTTAAATCATTTCTAGCCGGGCTTGATGGCTAACACTTGCCAACACCAGGAGACTGAGGCAGGAGGATCCGAGTTTGAGGTCAGCCTGAGTTATGCAGAGTTTAAGGCAGCCTGCACTACATAGCAAGATCCTGTCTAAAGAAAGAAAACAAAACCATTTCTAGATGGCTCAGAATGCCTAGTAATATGAAGATGGTTGTCAGGCTATTTTTCAGGGAATCATAAGAAAAAATCCACGTGTTCAGCACACACACTGTTTTTTTCTTTTTCTTTCTTTTCTTTTTTTTGTGTGGAACCGGGGATTGAACTCAGGGCTTTGCACTTGCCCGGGAAGCACTTATTCTACTGAGCCATCTCCCCAGCCCCATTTTTTTTCTTGAATAGTATGAATCTGTAGTTGATTGATGCTGTCTATATCAAATCTGCAGATGCAGAGGGCCCCTCACTCCACCAGGTCCTGTTGTGTACCCTAGGCTAGCCTTGAACATACTATGTAGCCCAGCCTCCAACTCAGAGCAATCCTCCTGCCTCAGCCTCCTGAGTGTTGGGATTAGAAGGGTGTGCTGCCACACCTGGCCCCTAATCCTTTTAATTTTTTTAAATTTTTATTTTTTGAGGGTTTGTTTACTGGCTTTAGCAGGGGAACCCAGCTACTCATATACCTTGACTGAAGTGTTTGTCCAAGAAGGTCATCCTCTTCAGCTTAGCAAACATAGCAGGGATGCTGTTAGGAAGGAAGGGGACCCTGGCCTAGCTGCCAGCAGCTCAGTCAGATCAACCCCAGTGATCAGTAGGGTAACACATGTCACAGCCACATCACCCTGGTTTCTTTTCTTTTCTCCCCACCTTAGGTGGCCACACTGCAGGGCCCACATTTATTTATTTATTTATTTATTTATTTATTTATTTATTTATTTTGGCGGAACCGGGGATTGAACTCGGGCCCTTGCGCTTGCCAGACAAGTGCTTATTCTACTGAGCTATCTCCGCGGCCCCAGGGCCCACCTTTTTAGAGACAAGTTCTCCCTAAATCACTATGTTGCCCAGGTTGGGTTCAAACGTTTGATCCTCCTGCCTCAGCCTCCCAGAGTGCTAGAATTATAGCTGCACACCACTATGGCCAGCCAAGGACTTGTTTCTGCCCCATTTATGTCATTCGCTAAAGTCATCTTGTTCATTTCATTTTGTTCTCTATCTCTCCCAACTCTGAACTTCCACAACACCGGCAGGGACCTGTCTGTCTTGCTTCTTATTGCATCCCCAGTGCTAAGACTAGTGCGTGGCACTCAGCAGCCATTGTTGGGCAAACAGCTAAACAAATGAGTAACTCTGCCCTCTGGTTCTCGCTTGGTCCTCACAGCTTCTCCCACCTGGAATGTTTGCTGTTCTCCCATCTGCTCTTTTTTCCTTTCTCCTGATGAGTCCTTGGAAGTGCAGATCCAGCGCCTCTTCTCCAGAGCAGTCTCCCTTGTGCCGCCTGCAAGATTAACATTTCCTTCTGGGGCTGGTGAGATGGCTCAGTGGTCTAAAGCACCTACTTAGAACAAGCTCAACAAAGCACAGGGACCGCGGTTCAATCCCCCAGCACCACATGCTAGCCAGCCCCACCCCCTGGTGGGCTGAGCTGGCCACACACACACACACACACACACACACACACACACACAAATAAATAAATAAAAATAAAAAAAAAAAAACAAAACATTTCCTTCTCAGGGTCCCATGCAGCACTTGCCTTAGAGCCCCGTGGCGCTGCCTACCACTCCATGCAACCAGTAGGACCTGGGGCCGGCACTTCATGGAGTCACCCTGGCCTCAGACCCACGGGGGGTCACAGGCTGGAGGGGACAGGCTCTGTGCAGAGTACACTGACCCAGACGATCAGCTGGCTCTCAGACTGCCCTGTGCCAGGGTGCTTGCTGTGACGTCCACGCCACCCTGCCTTGGAGCCAGCCGACTATGGACTGAAACCCCAAACTGCATAGTGGTGCAGACTACAGCAAGCGGTTCCTCTGAGTCAGTGCCAGCCTGAACCACAAAGTAGGACCCTGTCTCCAGAGGGGTGGGCAGAGTCACAGAGTCTTTCTAAATTATGGAAACTAAAAGTATCACAATGTAACATGTGAAAACCTTGAAAAACCGTATATTAAAACAGACATGGTTATGTATAAAACTCATGTATTAGATGGAGGAAAATTCAAATTACTAAACAATAAACTTATGTATGGTTCAAAAAGTGTAAATATGAATGGACCTGGGACCTGGAACATTGCACATCAAAATAAAAAAAAAAAAAAATCAAGGAAACCCTCTCTGGTCCCTGTTCTGTCCCTCTCTTGGACAGGAGCTTTCTTTCCCCCAATAAATATATTCTGCTCTTAACCTCCAAAAAAATAAAAATAAAAAACCCATCCCTGCAGTAGACCTGAGACTTGAAGAGTGTCACACACCCTGGAGACTTCTGGCAGGCTCCCCACCTTAGGTGGCCGCACTGCAGGGCCCAGGGTGACACCAGTTCTCCATAGGCCTTTCTGTTCCATCCCCACCACTGCCATCATAGAGTCTAGTGACAAGGAGGGCCTGGTGCCACCTCCCTGCAGACACATCACGGTCACACAGCTTTGCTTCTCTGTGTACAATAAGTGCTTTCTGGGGCTGGTGAGATGGCTCAGTGGTCTAAAGCACCTACTTAGAACAAGCTTAGCAAAGCACAGGGACCGTGGTTCAATCCCCCAGCACCACATGCCAGCCAGCCCCGCCCCCTGGTGGGCTGAGCTGGCCACACACACACACACAAATAAATAAATAAAAATTAAAAAAATAAATAAATAAATAAGTGCTTTCTCTGATCTCTGTCCAAGTCTTCCATTTCACGGTCATGAAAGTGACCGTGATGTGCTTTGCAGATTGTTGCTGGGGAAGAGCTGTACCTTGGCCCCCAGAGCCTGGGTTGTGTCTTGTCATTTGTTTTCCTTTTTTCTTTCTTTTCTTTCTTTCTTTTTTTTTAATATATATTTAGGACAGGGTCTACAGGGTCTCACTACATAGATCAGACTTGTAGTGATCCGCCTATGTTCAGCCCCCCAAGAGCTAGGATTACAGGTGCGCACCACCACGCCCGGTCTCAATAGCCGTCTCAGCATCCCCCAGGCATGGCACACCGGGGATCAAATCCCAGCCGCTGAGCTCTGCCTAGGCAGGCACTTTAGTCCACTGAGCTATCTGGCCAGCCCTGCAGTTCGCTTTTTGATCAGGGTCTCACTGTGTGGACCAGCTAGCTGGCCTTCATTGAACTCAACAATCCTCCTGCCTCAGCCTCTGGAGTGCTGGGACTACAGATGTGCATCACTAAATTTGACTTTCCTCCTTTTTCTTTTTGTTTGTTTGTTTGTTTTTGACACAGGGCTTCCTACGCAGTTTGGACTCGTGATCCTCCTGTCTCAGCTCCCCCCACACACACACACTCCGCACTGGGATTACAGGCGTGCACCACCACATCTGGTTTCAGGGCATGCAATACTAGGGATTGAACCTGGGTTCTTGCACTTGCCAGGTAGGTGCAAGCTAACTCCCTAGCCCTTTCCTCCCTTTTCAAAAGGAGGTGATGCTATGGCAAGTGAAGCCTGGCCTATCTGGTGGCTTCCAGAAGCCCATTTACCCTCTTTTTTGTCATATACTATCCAAGAGTAAAACTACTTTCCAACTATCTTCAAATGCCCCAACCCCTGTCTACAAAAGTCTCATCTAACGTCAAACTGCTTCACAATGCAAGATGCTCCACCAAGCGGACTGGCCTAGAAGCAAGAGTGTTGACAGCTTACCACTTCCCTCTCAAAAATAGCAGTGAGTGGCACTGAGTTATAGCTTGCAG